AAAACAAGTTCCCTACCTATCCCCATACACAAAAATCAACTCTAAATGGATCAAAGACCTAAACGTAAAACCTCAAACTATAAGAACCTTAGAAAACGCAGGAGACAACCTTATGGAAATTGGAACTGGCAACCAATTCCTGATCAAAACCCCAAGTGCCCATGCCATAAGAGATCAGATAGACAAGTGGGACCTCATCAAACTGACAAGCTTCTGCAAAGTCAAAGAAACCATCAAGAAAGCAGGGAGGCAGCCCACAGACCAGGAAAAAATATTTGCCAACTGTGTATCTGACAAAGGCCTAACATCTGGGATCTATAAAGAACTCAAACATGCCGAAAAGAAAAAAACAAAACAAAACAGCTGCATTACAAAGTGGATAAAAGATATGAATAGGCACTTCTCAAGAGAAGACATAAGATCCGCCAACAGACACATAAAAAAATGCTCAGCCTTACTAGTCATCTGTCAAAGAAATGCAAATTAAAACCACACCGAGGTACCGCCCAACTCCAGTCAGAATGGCCATCATCAATAACTCAGGAAACAACAGGCCAAGGTGAGTGAATTGCTTGAGCCTGCGTATTCGAGACCTGCCTGGGCAACTTGGTGAGACCTCATCTCTACAATAAATCAAAAATCAGCTGGGTATGGTAGCGCGTGCCTGTAGTTCCAGCTACTTGGAAGACTGAGGCAGAAGGATCGCCTGAGCCCAGCAGGTCGAGGCTGCGGTGGCCGGGAGCGGCCACTGCACTCGTCTGGGCGACAGAGTGAGACTCCAACTTAGAAAAAAAAAAAGGAAACAAAAGATGCTAGAGAGGATGTGGCGAAAAGGGAACACTTCTACACTGTTGGTGGAGGCATAAACTAGTACAGCCTCTGTGGAAAGCAGTGTGGTGATTCCTAAAAGGTCTAAAAACCGACCTTCCATATGACCCCACAATCCCCCTACTGGAAATATACCCGAAGGAACTCAAATCACTCTGCTAAAATATACCTGCACATGCATGTTTATTGCAGTACTTTCCACAATAGCAAAAACATGGAACCAACCGTGCTGCCCATTGAAAGAGGACTGAATTTAAAAAATGTGGCACATATACACAATGGAATATTACACAGTCATAAAAAAGGACAAAATTATGAACTTCACAACAACTTGGATGGACTTAGAAATTATAATACTGAGTGATCTATCACAGAAGCAATGAACTGAGAATCACATGCTCTCACTCATAAGTGGACCTTGAACAATTATCATAATACCATAAGAAAAAGATGGTCAGTAGGGGAAATTACTGGGGAAGGGGGTGCGGGGTGGGATTGGCAGTAGCGGGATTCTGCCAGGGGTGAGGTACACTTCATCAACAAGGGTACCGGCATAATGAACATTTGTATACTTAACCTTGAATTGTACCTCACATCTTTAAAATTAAAAAGTTTTTTAAAAAGCTGCTCCTTCTGAAGACCGTGATTGTGATATTAAATTTTCCAAAGTGCTGATGATCAGAGTCCACAACGTGACCCAACTGGTGGATCCTAGATCTGCCCACAGATCAGGGGCTCTGAAAGAAAAATTGCCACCAGGCACCTGCTTGAGTTGTGATGGGCAGCGTGGGCACTGACGTGCCAGCTGGCAGGCACGCAGGAGGCCACTCACTCATCTCACACCGGCTGGGCACGGAGACGGAGCCTGAAATCCAAGCTCCGTGGACCAGGCGGCGGAGTCTCTCTCTCCAACCCAGGCCTGCAGCTCTGGGCGCCAGGCTGCCCGTGGTGGCGGTGGGACGCCATCCCGCAGCTGGATTCCGCCGTGACAGCAGGACGTCACGAAGGAGCAGGTCGCGCAGGTTCTCCCAGGCAGGGAGACGGCACGGAAACGACGTGTGAGGCTTTTGCCTTCTGAACTAGGCAAAGCCGAACTTGCTGGAAAGTAAGCCGCGAAGGCTGTTTTGAATTTCATTTCTCAAGAAAACCCAGCTAACTTTCATTGCCACTTTTTAGTCATGTGTCTTTGGGGAAATTAACTTTTTATTTAACTTTGACTAAAGATATGTCGATTCGGGGTGTGAAAATAAAATCTGTTAGATTGTTAAAAAATAAATAATTTAAAATGCAAAATATTTAAATAGGCTGTTTTTTTAGCCTCCATTTTTACCTCACCCTTTCAACCCTTAAAGTGAATCTGATCTCACTAGGTTTCTGAAAAATACTATCTTGATGATCTCTTAATTTAAATATTAATAAGGACTAATCAGACTTTCTCATTTGTTTTTAAAGCAGGATTTATTGAGAGGACAGAAAAGCTCCTACAGTGGGAGCGGACCCGAAGGAGTTGCTCTTTTCATTATTTTTTTTAATAAACTTTATGTCTTAGACAAGTTTAAGTTTCACAGCAAAATTTAGCAGCTGGTTTAGTGTTCTCATGTCTATCATTTCCCAGTTAAAGTTGTCAGAATCAAAATGGAGTCACTAAGGTAAAGAAACCCCTGACAAATAGAGCTGGGGAACCCTCTCTTTATGACTTTCTCCTGTTTTGTTTGTCAGGGTTTTTGTGCCAATGTAATGGTCTGATTCACACTTCACTGTGTAGATGTCTAGTTGTTCTAGCACCGACTGTTGAAAAAACTACCTTAACTGAATTTTACTGCCTTTACCCCTTTGTCGACATCCATTGACCATAATTATGTAGGTCTACTTATAGGCTCTCTATTCTTCCCTCTGATGTGTCTTTACACTCATCTATATCATACTGTCTTAATAACTGTAACTTTATAATAAGTTTTGAGGACAAGTAGTGTCTCAATCCTCCAATTTCACTTTTCTACAATATTGTGTTGGCAGTTCTGGGTCTTTTCCTCTCTGCATAAGCTTTAGAATCAGTTTGTCAATATTCCCCAAATAAGTTGCTGGAATTTTTATTGGGATTACACTGAATGGACAGATCAAAACTCACATCTTGAGGATAGTGAGTCCTATAAGTGAACACAGCATATCTCTGCACTTGTTTAGTTCTTCTAGGAATTTTTCAACTGACAAGAATATTCATTGGACTACAGGATTCTCCTATGTCAAACAGTGCACGATGATGAATTCCATGTTCTGTAGACAACAAGTCACATCTGCTGGCCAAATGTCTCATCATGGACAGGAGGGTGAAAGAAAGATACAAACACTCGAGGAAATTGTGAAATTCATGAATCAGTTACTGGGTCTGAGGCACCCCCTTTCATTCTCCCGGGGGACCTATCACGACCACTGAGACCGGCTAGCTTCTGTCAAGAATCTGGTCTTTCTTCATTCCACCTCTTATTTAGCTTTTGGTTGTGTGTATACTGAAGCTAGCCATATAGTCCTTCTTCGTCTCTACCTTGAAGAAATACTCTCACACACAAAACAGTCATAAAACATCTCTTAGTTTTTATTTTAGTAATCTTTTGAAAATGATCATCATTGTTTCTCATAATTAAGGATGTCTTTATTCCCACAATTAAAAAAAAATTTAAATATGTGGAGTACACTTCAGGATTAGGTATACAAATGTTCATTATGCAGGTTCCCCTGTTGATGAGGTGTGCCGCCCCCCCGACAGTTTCCCACTAATGTCAATCCCTTTCTTGTAGCATTATGACAATTTTCCAAGGTCCGCTTATGAGTGAAAACATGTGGTACTCAGTTCTTTGTTTATGTGATAGATCACTCAGTACTATAGCCTCTGAGTTCATCCACATTGCTGTGATGTTCTTAATTTTTTCCTTCCTAATGGCTGTGTATTATTCCATTGTGTCTATGTACCACATTTAAAAAATTCAGTCCTCTTCTGATGGGCAGCATGGTGGGTTCCATGTTTTTACTATTGTAAATAATGCTGCAATAAACATGTGTGCAAGTATCTTTTTCACAGTGTGATTTGAGTTCCTCCGATTATATTCCCAGGAGGGGAATGGTGAGGGTCATGTGAAAGGTCAAGTTTTAGATCTTTTAGAAATTGCCACCCTGCTTTCCACAGAGGCTATACTAGTGTACACTCCCACCAACAGTATAGAAGTATGCCCTTTCCCCCTCACTCTCTCCAGCATCTGTTCTTTTTTGTTACTGATGATGGCCATCTTGACAGGAGTTAGGTGGTATTTCAGTGTGGTTTTGATTTGCATTTTTTAAATGACTGGTGAGACTTTGCATTTTTTATGTATCTGTTGGCTGCTAATAGGTCTTCTTTTGAGAAGTGTCTATTCAGATCTTTTACCTACTTTGTAATGGGGCTGTTTGTTTTTTTCCTTTCAGATCGTTTGATTCCTTGTAGATCCTAGATATTAGGCCTTTGTCACGTATACAGTCGACAAATATCTTTTCCCAGTCTGTGGGCTGTCTCCCTGCTTTCTTGATGGTTTCTTTGGCCTTGCAAAAGTTTGTCAGTTTGATGAGGTCCCACTTGTCTATCTTGTCTCGTATGGCATGGACACTTGGGGTTTTGATCAGGAATTGGTTGCTAGTTTCAAATTTCATAAGGGTATCTCCTGCATTTTCTAAGGTTCTTATAGTTTGAGGTTTTACATTTAGGTCTTTGATCCATTTAGAGTTGATTTTTGTGTATGGTGATAGGTAGCGGTCTTGTTTCAATCTTCTGCATGTGGTCAGCCAGTTTTTCCAGCAACATTTACTGAATAGGTTCTCCTCTCCCCAGTGGTCGAGAAATTGAGGTTTTACTACTAAAATTTTTATCCTGTCTGTTGGTCTATATGCCTGCTCTTGTACCAATACCAAGTTGAAAAACAGCCATTTTAACATTGCTTAAGTTTTGTCATATTTCGCTGACTGTTCCACTTCCTAATCTTTAGCCAAGGACAAAATCAGTAGTGGGAAAATGCCAAGGGAGGGGGTGGCATTGGCTGTTGAAAGAAACCTCATCAACCAGAGGACCTGTATAATGAACATTTGTATACCTAATTCTGAATTGTACCCTATATCTTTATTTATTTATTTTTATTTATTTACTTTTAACAGGAAGCAAGATTTATTGATATGGGGATGAAGCGCCAGCAGAGTGAAAGTCTTCATGAGTGCAGGGCCCGCCACTTGTCCAGGGGGCCGCGATTGGGGATGTATTGGACCTCACAGATATCTGGGATGAGCTGCTTCTCAGCCACCAGGTCTTCAAATTCATCTGCGTTAAACTTGGTAAAGCCCCACTTCTTTGAGATATGGATCTTCTGGCGGCCAGGGAACTTGAACTTGGCCCTGCGTAGAGCCTCAATCACATGCTCCTTGTTCTGCAGCTTGGTGCAGATTGACATGATGACTTGGCCAATGTGCACCCTGGCCATGGTGCCCTGGGGCGTCCCAAAGGCACCTCGCATTCCTGTCTGGAGCCGACATTGGGGATGTGGCAAGGTCAGACATGAACACACACTGGAAAGGGCTGTCTCCAAGGTCCCTTAGAGCAACCTATACAAGAAACAGGCTGCGTACACTACCAAGGAAGCTGCTATTTGCAGCCATTGCACACCGGGTCCCCACGAGGAAAGGAACACGGTCGGCTTACTTGGCTGCAGAACCCTATATCTTTAAAATGAAAAAAAGGCATGAATTGTAAAGATAAAAATAAATTATTAAAACAAGTAAGGGGTCTGTGCAGGAATCAAAGGTGACAATGCATGATTACAATTTTGATGATCCACTCAGTTATTTTCTTGAGATCTCAAATTATCTATATTTAAAAGATAATCTTTAAAAAGGTAAAATCAACAACAGAATGACCAAGTGTCAAATATTTTATCAAACTTATTCATGAGAGAACAAGTAACATGCTACAACCAGTTCAAAAAAGACAATTTAAAGAGCAAAAACTTATACAAAGAAATAAGGAATTTCAAAATGAATTCCCAAGCAGGTGCAATATGGGCTTATCCACAGAACAGATCTATCATCTATCCATCATCTATCTATATCTATCAATCATCTCTATCTCTATCATCAAATTATCTATGTATTTATCTACCACAATCAATTACACTTCATTATAAACAATGGACAAACCTCACGTATTATCAGTTTTCTCCAACTGACAAAATAATTTAAAAGACTCAAAGACAGTAAAAGGAGGAGCTAACACACACGAAGAATCTGTTTGTAGTTTTTTTGAATACACACACCACGAAGAATCTGTTTGTAGTTTTTTTGAATACACCTTCACACACACCTAGCACAAGGCAGTCTGAGAAGCAACACACATGAGGCCCACTTCAGCCTAGAAACCTCAGATCTTCAGTGCTGGTATGGAATGAAATGTTAAAACATTAGGGTGTCAAAGGCCCTCAAAGCTGTCTATTCTAAAGAGACCTCGAGTTACATGCATGACAGTTTCTTGTAGATTCTTGACCTCCATTTAGAAGAAGGACACTTTTTGAGAGACACCTTGTCACTCCACCTCAACTCTTTCTCTTTCTGCCAGCACTCAGGACCCTGATTCTGAAATCCAGTTTCACTAAACAGTTAAAAGAACCTCCCAGAGGTGGGGCTTGGTGGATTTCAGATAGACAGTTCAGTGTTGGCTACATAGAACCTTAGTGACCATGGCAACCATTAACTAACATCTTGGCAACCAAAATGGGAACCTTTGATTGTTAGGGAGTTTTGATTAATTTCATGTCCCAGGTATAGCCAGTGCTCAGAAAGTCCCTGGTGTTCTTCCAACAAGATACAGTTTAAGGCAGCTACACAGAGACAAGGTAGAAGACTCATTACACAATGGGGTTACCTTGGTTAGGTCACTAACAAAATATAAGAACAAAATATGAGCCGGGCTAGGTGGCTCAGCCTGTAATCCTGCGCCTTTGGGATCCTGAGGTGAGTGGATTGCCTGAGCCTGCGGGTTCGAGACCCGCCTGGGCAGCGAGACCTCATCTCTACAATAAATCAAAAAATCAACCGGGCGTGGTAGCACATGCCTGTAATTCCTTCTACTCGGAAGGCTGAGGTGGAAGGATCGCCGGAGCCCGGCAGGTTGAGGCTGCGGTGGCCGGGAGCGACCACTGCACTCCAGTCTGGGCGACAGTGAGACTCCAACTCAAACAAAAAAAAAAAAAAAGAAAAAAAGAACAAAATATGAAAATGTAACAATGGGGTTTTGCAAAGTGTAACATTTGATTTCAGTCAACGAAGCATACAATTACATAGAACTTTTGGCTAGGGAGTTTTGTAACAGTCAGCAGGAAACGGTCAGCATGACCTGCCCAAAAGGGACAAAATTGAGGGTCTGTGGTCATGGGAACATTGCTGTAATCCCACGTAGGCATTGAGGAGTGATTCTTAGGTCACGCAGGCAACTAAGATAAAAGCTTTAAACAGAATGGAGTAAGTTGGTTAATACTATTATTTTGATAGCAATTTAATTTTATTAACTGATTTAGCTCATTTCAGTATGTATACAAAATGGAATATTATGCAGCCATAAAGAAGAACAAACATATGGACTTTGCAGCAACATTGATGGATTTAGAGTCTATCATACTCAGTGATCTATCACAGAAACAAAGAACAGAGTACCACATGTTCTCACTCATAAGTGGACCCTTAACAATTACCAAAATACTATGAAAAAGGGATTGGCAGTAGCAGAATACTGCCTGGGTGTGGTATGGGTGGGGACACAACTTCAAGAAGGGGACCTAATCTCTAACCGGGCAAAGTGGGGACCAAAGAGAGCCCAAACTTTACCTGTATAATAATCACTTTTATACCTAATTTTGAATTGCACCCTACATAGCTAAAATAAAGAATAAAAAAAAAAACTTGGGAAAAATAAAACAGGGAGAGAGAATAGAAAGATAGGGGTTATAAGGTGTCTGATATTCTGTGGCAAGGAAGTTTGGGACTGTCTGATTAAGCATCGGTCAACAGGACCTGAGATGGGGGAGAAAATAAAAAGTTAAAAAGAAAGAATATAAGAATGAAAGAGATTGAGGTTTTATTTATTTATTTATTTCTTAAAGAGGTAGTTAAGGATAGAATGTTTAAGAGAACCAAAGATTTTAAATTAAAGCAGAAACAGCAATGAGTAGAAACCTAATCAGAGAAAGGAAAAATGATGTTGGTTTTAGCAGATGCTTAGCTTAATGGACTAGGAAGGAAGCTAAGGCTAGAATAAAGTATCAGTGAGAAATGTAGTTCATCAGAAAAGTAACATTCAGCTTTTGGTCCTTTTCAATTGCCTTTTTGAACACAAATTACAGTTGACACTTTTGTAAAAATATGAAACTCTTCACAAGTTTGCGTGTCATTCTTGAGCAGAGGCCTTGTTAATCTTTCTGTTCCAATTTTAGTATATATCCTGCCAAAGTGAGACAACATTATATATATATATATTAGAAAAACATTTTAGAATTGATTCCTTCTGTAAACAGGAAACTAATAAAAGTGGTTATGCAGGGGACTGGAGAACACTAAATTCACGGTGTTCTACTTCTTTCAATCTTTAAACTATATGGATGCTTCACCTATTACAAATAAATTAAGTTTTTAAAATTGTTGAATCCTAATTCGCATTAGAAGAACAAATTCCTTTATGTGATAAGTAGGTTTCACATAAAGGTTGCTTTTCATCTTTATAATTATTTTCTTCCCTAAAAAAGTACATACCAATGAACAATTAACTGCCTTTACACATAGAATATAAAGTCACATCTCTAGAAATTCCACATGTCTCTAGAACAATCTCTGGAGTTATTTAGGTTTTCTCACATTACAAATTCATTACAAATTGTGTTTGAATTGGATTTTAGTAGTCTTGGTTGTTTCTAAATTTTGGAAATGACATTTTCCTGAATGTTAAATATGATTATGATCTAGGTTTTGATGATAAATATAGAAACCTCCATGATACCTTTTTAGTGTTTATTTCAGCTTATGGGACTATATTAACTTTTTTTTTTAAATTTGGGGATCTCACTCTGTCACCCAGGCTGGAGTGCAGTCGCACTCCAGCGATCCTTCCACCTCAGTCTGAAGCAGCCGGAATTACAGGTGTGCACTATCATGCCCGACAATTTTTTTATTTATTATAGAAACAAGGTCTCACCAAGTTGTCTGGGCTGGTCACTAACCTGCGGACTCAGGCAATCCACTCATCTCGACCTCCCAAATTGCTGGGATTACAGGCTGACCCATAGAGCCTGGCCTCTATTAATTTTGATATTCATTTTTCCTTGGATTAATATCTGCCACTTGTTGGATAATATTCAGAGAAATATGAATGAGCATGATAGTAAAACTCCTTTACACTGACTGTTTGGCTCTCTGCTTTGTGCCAGTTTTTACTGAAATATTTGTCTATATATATTATGGCTACCTGTACATTCATATTTACTGTATTTTGCTGCTTGCTATGTACTTTCTACTACTGTAGTATCCTATCGATATGTTCAGTTTAGAAATTCATTACAAATCACCTTCTATTGTGAGCTGATTCTCCAATTTCCTTAATAGAGTAGATAGTATTCAATTCTATAATACTGAAAATATAAATAACAAAACTTCAATTATTAGTAGCTTCCTATACTTTGATGCTTGCTACATATCTTGATTTTCATTAATATCCACAGATTCTTTTTAGTTCTGTGAAGTTCTAAATATTTTTCATAATTTTTCTTGGACTTTCCAGAACTTACATCTTCCTTTATATCAATCATATGTAATATATTCCTTTATTTATGTATGAGTAATGATCATTATTATTATAACAACCACTTTGTAAATGAGGAACCTGAAGTTCAGAGTTTGAATTTTAAAAATTTCTTTCAAAAAGCATTTCTTGAGAAACAAACTCTCAGGCAGTCATTTGAACCTAGGATTAGAATCCAGTCTTCAATTGGGCAAATAAAGACACTTTAGAGTCGCTACCTAGCCTGGGTTAAATGTAAACTCCAGGAAATGGCATGTGATCTGCAGAAGCAGAATGAGACATTAACAATCACAATGGTAATAGCTGCTACTACTGTCTAAAGGACCAAAAAATGCCAATATTGAAAGTTCTATTCCTCCCAGTTTCTGATCCTTGCTCACAGCAGAGTACTGGCAAGGGAGTCAAGTTCTGTAAGCTGGTAATGAAACATTAAACTTAGGTTAATATAGCTTTTCTGAGCCTCAGTTTTCTCCCTCATAAAAATAAGAAAAAATTCTTAGAACAGAAGTGTGTAAGGAAACCCTAGTACTAAATTGCTTCAATGTTAGGAAATACTTACAAGTGAATACTAGTACAGGCTTAGGGGAAAGATTAGGCAGGGAGTATGGCTTATAGCCTGGAAACAAAGTATGGAAAAGACCACATTTGTGCCCAAGTTGCAGGCAAAATCAGTTTCTCAGAAAACCAAACTTCTCCAGTGTTTACAGCCATCATAAATGGTTTAACTTGGGGTATCTCAGTGAATAATGGTGTTGGAGGCTTACTGTTTAAAATAACCTAGGTAATGCTGTTTCTCAAATATAGTGAGAACTACATACTCTCATGGGTTTTCCATAACCCTCTTGTTTCCTACAGAAAACTTCCAAATTC